AAGATGTGGGGCTGGGGGAGCGGGAGGCCTGGGGCAGGGCAGCAGGGGTGGGATCTGGGAGGCAGGACAGTCTAACCCTGACCCTAAATGCCTCCGACTTTAACCCTAAATGCTCATGACAGGGAGGTCAGGGACACTTGATTGGAAGAAGTGTTCCAAATGGACATTAAGCTTGGGCAGGTAAGGTTGACTGTGTCCTGAGGTCTAGCTAGGATCTGGGGAGGATGCCCAGGACCCTCTGGTACAGCTTAGGCTTGGAATCCCTCCAGGGAGCCAAATGGCTGGGATCTGATAGGGAACCAGCCCAAGAGGCACAGTTCCAGATAAGGGGGATCAGGAAAGATCTTTGGTTCCTGCCTCCAAGGTGGGGCTTGAGGCAGGAGGTAGGCCTTGTGGATACTTACAGGGACTGGGAGTGAAGGCAGGATTCTTATGGGCAAAATCTGAAGTTTGGGAAAGTGTGACCCAATGAGAAATCTCGGGTGGGGGGGTGGGGGGGGGAAGGTCAGCCAGGATGTTTAGGAAGTGATTGGGAGTCTGGAAAAGTTTTAGGGGCAGGGAGCTGGTCCGGTAGCCAGGCTTGGGAGGCATGCTTCTGGCAGACCTGGGGAATGAGACCCAATGGCAAGGACAGCAAACAAAGGTCAGGATGTAAGTGGGAACACTGGCTCAGACCTACCTGGGATCTGCATGCACAGAGTGGGCTTCTGGAAGGCAGAGCGATCTTAGGTCCCAGGGAAGGCAGAGAGAACTCAGGTCAAAAGGAAAAAGGAGAGAATCTGAGCTCCAGGGAAGGCAGAGCAGTCTCAGCTCAAAGACTTCCTGTTTCCCACCAGCCCACTCTGATCCTCCTAGTCCCAAGGACACCACCCGGTCCAACCCTTGAGGCCCCCAGGATGGCTGAGCCCTTTCCTCCAATCACACCCAGGGCCAGAACTCAAGGACCCTGACTGCCTCTCCTTCCCAAGCCCACCCCTCCATCACGTGGAAAGCCTTCTCCAATGCAATGGTCCCCTCTTCCCCCTAAACTCCTCCCAGCCTCCAAACTCCACCCCAGTGCTCCAACTCCACCTGGGCCACCACCCACCAGGCTGGTCATCTCTGAGAGCTCCTCCCTTCCAGTGCCTCCCCCACCTCCTTCCCTCCCAGACTCACCCCCTCCTCCTTCTGAGCAGAAACACTGCCTTGATCCAACTGCAGCTCCAGACTAAGTGAAAGTGATGGACTCTACACTTTGAGGAGCTGGTAGCAAATGGCTCTCAGGAAAATTAGGATCTATATACCATTTGCAACTGTAAATCCAGATTGGATCAGACTGAGTTTCTCCCAGTGAGAAATTCAGTTCTCCCTTTGTAATTGTGATGTTTGACCCTCTGCAAAAATATCAGACCTTAAGGGTAAATACACTTAAAATTCAGCATTGAGGCAATGTGATGAGGAACTGTAAGAATAAGAATTGAAGGTAATTGGGTCAGAATTACTCAATTCTACTCTGAATGCAGTCTAGAGTGTCAAATTGAGAGATGAATGAAGTGAATTTTTTATGTAAGATAATTCACAAATGAACTGAATTGATGTCATTTAGCAATTTTTCATGTTTTAAATCTATAACATTGTTTATGTTATTATGCTTCTGGTTTTTCTCCTGTTGGAATGTTTGGGAAACCATTGCATAAAATGCTGTAATTTGAAAAATAATTTCTAGAGGGTGATACAATTGTATTCTTGGAAATTTATCTCCTCAGCAATTTGAAACTATGCCCAAAGGGCTATAAAATTGTTCATACCCCTTGATCCCGCAATACCACTACTAGGTCTGTATCCCAAAGAGATCATAAAAATGGAGAAAAGACCCACATGTACAAAAATATTCATAACTGCTCTTCTTGTGGTGGTAAAGAACTGGAAATTTAGGGGATACCCATCAGTTGGGGAATGGCTGAACAAGTTGTGTGTTAGAAATACACTTGACACCTAAAATTTAGTATCAAGAAAGTTTATTACAGAGAAAGTCCAGAGGATTAGACCTTTCTGGCCAGAAGCAGGCTCCACCCCTCTTAGGGAGGGATAGGCCCTGAGCACAAGGGCAAGCATGCTTTTATACATTCAAATTTGGCGTGAAACCTCCCAGGCCCGGATTGGTCCATTCCTTCCCGGGTTACACCCCTCCTTACATGTTTCCCCTTGATATGCTCAAGTATGTTCCCCCTCCCGAGGTCATACATCCCATGACTCGTTAATGAGGCTCTCATTTTATGCGGGGTGTGGCAGATAATAGTAATGAAGTTCATTAAGCAGGCGCACTAACATTTTTCAGGTGTCCTCAGGTTGACCCTAACTGGTCTGAGCTGGCTCGACCCTTATCTTGAATTTGGAGTCTTTTTAGAGCCATCAACTTACTTCTTATTGCTTGAGCCCTCACCCACCTACTGTGTACTTCTTCCTGGAATAGTTCTTTGAATCTCCGCATTATTCTCCTTCTCTATGGAAATATGACTCTCACAATTCCCTCCTCTTTTTCTCAATAAGAATTATATTTCCACACTTTTTGTTCTTTCCTCAAAGCGTTTTAACATTAGTTCGAATTCTTCATCAGAGGGGGAGGAATGGTCATTAACTGGCTCAATCATCATCCTAACTCCTGTTACCTGAATTCCCAGAACCGGTCCCACTGAGGTACTTTTCAATGGAATTTTGGGGACTTAATATGGGAGAAGGAAGGGAGGAGTTGACTGACTCATTGACAAAGTAAAAAGGGGCCAGTTCCCTTATTAAGTGCAGATACAGAGACCCAAAAGGAACCATAAATTGTCCATTTAAAGCTTCAGAAGTCTCTTCCCATACAGCTGACACTCTGGACATCATCTGGTGAAGTCTTTTTTGTCTAAGTGCTGTTCAAACAATGTCCAGCAGACTCTCCTCCTGCAGAGATCCTCCTTCTTGTGTCCACTCTCCTACAAGATTGATCTCAACTCTATTTTAAATTACCTTGCTAATAACCAAGGCAAATAATGAAAATCAACTCAATCCCTATGTCTTCACCATTACAAGATCAAAATGGAAACTTTGTCCAATTGTCATGTTTCAAAAAACTCAAATTAAAAAAAATTAGAACCTAGCCTTACACTCTGCATTACTTCGAGTTTTATACCTTGCATTAGTTGATTATTCATTCCTATTTATATTCCCCATCAGGAAGATGAGATTCCATTAAGGAATTAGTAACAGACTCCAATCCATAGTAGTTAATTTAAAATCACTGCATATCAAATAACAAAACACTCCCAACTTCTAGTCATGTACAAATAAAAAATCCATAATTAAAATAGATGCTTTTTTCAAGGCATTTACAAGATAAGCCATAAGTTATTCCTCTTTAACATTAATTGTAACAAACTGAGACAACTTTACCATTAACTAAGTATTAACTAAGTCACAGAATAATATCCTAGTTCCACAGTGTCCTGGTCTAATTATCCCCTAATGATAGGGGATGGGTCCAAGCCGAGACCCTCACCCCTTTCTCCAGAAACAATCTGGCTCCCATCAGTCCATGGGCCCCAACTCCTCATCTTCCTTTGAAAGCCCTAGCCCCACCCCTGGTCACCCAAAGTTTCTTCAGTGTGTGCAAGATCTCACCAACCGTCATATAACCAGCATTGTTGGGCAAGCTGGCATGTCACCCCCTGGGAGGTATGCATAGAGGCCCTTGAGCCCAGTGGGTGTGCTGGCCGCGCCGTGCACTCTCCTCCTATAAGGAGCAGGCTGCCAGAGTCATACTACTTACTAGTCTTCGGTGCCCACCCGGATAAACACACAGAGACGAGCCGATCAGGAGGTGCCAACACTCGAGCTTTATTCAGAGGCCATCACAGCAAAGCCAAGCAGGAAGGCCAGAGCAAGAGAGCAGGAGCAAAAGAGAGAGCGAGCTCTGAGCTCTACAGTTCCTTAAGTACCTACTTAGCCCCTCCTCCTCAGCCCGCCTACTAGTCATTGATTGTAGGGTCAGATACCGGAAGGGGATGTCTGGGTTTAGCGCACCAAGGGAGAGGAAGTGACGCAGGAGGCTAGGACCAGATACAGGAAGGAGGCATCTGGGTTAGAGCTGTACCTAGGGAGAGGACGTGACCCAGGAAATCAGGCCCAGATACCGGGAGGAGGCGTCTGGGGTGAGTGCTACACAAAGGGAAAGTACGTGACCCAGGAAGTCAGGAAGGAGACGTCTGGGGTTAACGTTGCACCTAGGGAAGAGGACTAGACAAAGGAACTCGTTCTCTGCCGTCCCACTCCCACGTGGCACAGCCCCCTGCCTCAGGAGCACGTGCTCCGGCTACTTCCTTGTATTCTGTTGCTTCCCCAGCTTATCACAGCTCCACATAGCACTGCCCACTGCCTCAGGAGCGTGAGCTCCGGGTACTTCCTAATATCTTGTTCCTACCCCATCTTGCCACAACTGTCACTTCGCAGTAGCCAACATCAGACAGTCCCTCACAGTCCCGTCTCCCTCTTGAGCTTCTTTCTTAGTGAAGGGATCAGCCTGTATTTATAGCACATGTAATTGATGAGTGCCAATTGCAAACACAAAACTGAAGAAAAAAGCATCTGAAAGTAAGCTCCTCATCTTAAAATAAATAAAAATCCCAATTGGTTTAGCAGTTAGATATCAATAATTAGTAAATCTGCCTATCTTATTTAATATCATTAAACAGAAAACAGAGTACAACCTTCCTAGATAGATAACTAAAGTATTATAGTCAATTTAGTGGTTTCTAGACAACTAACCATTTGTTAGAGAGTCAGTGTTGCAAATATAAAGAAATAAAGGATTTTACTTTATATTATATAATGTAGTATATAATATATATTATATTATAAAATAATACATTATAACTTATAATTATAGATAAAAATAAAGAAATAAAGTTTTTAATAAATAACTATACGAATATATTCACATGTACATATATACACAGTACATATTAAAACTTATGAAGCACATTTTCTAATAGATTTTTTCACATTTATATATTTAATGGAAAACCACTGAATATTATTTAAATAGTTTATTTCATAAATAAACATGGTTTCTTCCTTTAAAGCATGTAATTTTTCTGGATCATGATTCAGTTTTGGCATTCTTGTGGATTCATTTAGAGATCCTATTGGAGAAGTCCTTCAAGATCTAGATTCAAGTTCAGATGTAGCTGGGGGAAAAAAGAAGAAGCAAAAAACAATTTACCTTATATATTTTTATTTCTACACACATATGCATATATAAGTATGTGTGTATTTTTTTATTTCTCTTGGGACTCATGATTCATCATGTTAAGGAATTCTGGGTGTGAGAAGTATGAAAGCGGTCACTGGTCCAATTCAGTCTTAGAGTTTCCTGAGCACTTTAAAGTTAAGTGACTTGCCCATGGTCTGATGGGCAGTATATATCATAGGGAGGCCTTGAACTCAAATTTTCCTAGAAGTAACCTACCATAGAGGGTTGTTTTGAAGCTCAAATCAGATAATGTATGCAAAATGCTTTGCAAAATTTAAAGTGCTATATAAATAGTCGCTATTGAGTATAGACTATATAAATAGTCATCATTACTACCCTTAATATGTATGTTGATTTTGGAACAACTCATCAAATTGTTCATATAATATTTCTTTTTCATCCTCTGCAGTAGACATCAGTATATCTGCTACTATAATTATGTTCATGGTGGTCTTTTTGCTTATGTTTATATTGAGCTCTATTTCTTATTTAATTATGTTTAGTATTGCCTTTGGGCTCACAATGAAACCAACCATGCCAATTATTTTATTTGCCTATTTGAGGAAAATGTGAACCACACTTCCATTTAGCTACAACTTCTTTCTGTTTTCTGGTTAAATTGATAGAAAGGGTGTCAATATGAATATTACTTTGTTCTTTCAGTACTGATAGTCACTGGACAAAGACTATAAATTAAGATACTGACAGTTAAAATGATATTTGTAGATGGTTTTTGAATTGTGGGATTATTAGTGTCTTTTGTCCCCTTTCCCATCACTCTTCTGAAATCAATGTGGAATCACAGAAATAAACAGAATAATAGAATCGCAAACTTGGCTATGAGTTTAATGACTCTTTAGTCCAAACAATTCTTGAACAGCAATCTTATTGATTGTATCCCTCCCGAAGCGGTTGACTAGCATCATATCTGAAGATCAGAACTGAGGACAATTATTCTTCTGTTTCATGGGATGCTGTGGCCAAAGACTTCATTACCTACTGACCAGCCTTCAAGATCTAAGCCTCTCTGTGAGTGGCCAGGCTTGTGTTCTGGAAACAGATACAGTCTATCTCTGGGCTTATGCTACCTTTCTAGCTTATTAGAAAGAACTTGCTAGATCTTGCATTTCACTGGCATAGAAGAATCCAAGGTTACTTCAAAGTGATGAAGAAGAGGGAGGTGGCACTGAAATAGCAGCTTTGTGGGAGTTTTTCAGCATATTTAAAAATCAGGAATATCTTGAAATTCTAGCATTTATTTATGAAGAATTTGGACATACCTTCATCAAGTTCCCTAGCTATGCCTTCTACCAACTCCTGCTGCATCTGAAATAACATTAAAATACTATTCAGTAATGAAGTAAATGAAGAAGGAACTCGAGATAATACACAGAATTCAATAAATCTTTTAAAAAATTACAGACATCTAAGAAATTACTAATCAACTTAGACACTAGTTTAGTTTGACTTTAGTCATTCAACAGAAAATCTATTGGTCTGAAAAATAATACTATTATGAACAAAATCAAGAGCTTATCACAATTACTTACAAAGAGACACAAACTTTGTTGACATAATAGTCATGTCGCAGGGTTTGAAAATAGTTTTCTTCTACTCTAAGCAAATCTTACCCTTTTATTTTCATTTTTATCAACATACAACATTTTTCTTTAAAAATAAAATCAATTTCTTATCCTATACTTTAAAAGAAAACATTTCAATATTGATTAAGTTACAGAAAGTCTAAACACAAAATGAACATCAACTTACACTGAGCAAAAGAGAAGAGGAAATGCCTGAAAATGATTAAATACAATAGAAATACAATAGAAAAATTCCAAGGATGGGTATTAAATGAAAACAGCTCCTTCATTTTCGGTTCTAATTGAAATATTTCTCAATCCAGACAGAAATTGATTTCATTTGATTTTCTAAATCCACACTTTGTGATTTTGTAGATTGTAGTAACAAAGCTAAGAGAAATCCTGTCTTCTACTCTACCTTGTAAAGAAAGAAGGAAAGAGTCTGGTGCCAGTCTTCCAGTTTTTATAACAACTTCACAGAAATGGGAAGAGAAGATGAAATGGAAGAGCACTCTTGATAAAGATTAAAGTTTTATAGTTTCCTTTTCAGAAGACAGATGAAATAGGATAGTATAGATAGGAGGTAAATGTTGCAACATAAATATAAAGCATGTGGGGAAATCATCACCAAAACATAGTATCCTTACATATAATGTTCTTATTTAAATTTATACTCAAGAAAAGATATTTCTCTCCAAATTTGTAATAGTAAATGCACAAAAGAAAATCTGGCAAAGAACTGCACAAACGTCTGTTACTGTTCATGATGACAATATTGGAAACTTCTTTTGTCCTGGTAATAAACTTGGAGGTAAGAGAGCAGGAGAGTGTGGATCTCTTCCCCAGGTTCTGAGTTAGATCTTTCTTAAACCTTTCTTTGATAACATAATTATTAGAAGAGGTCTTAGGTAATGAAAAACTTGACATTGGGCAAAACCTTTAGCTAAAAGATTTTAAGTGTTATGTTAATAAAGATACACTATCAAAAGAAAATAAAGTTGATTTATATTTTAAGGGAAGATGAATATTTAATTTTAGAAATTCATTTATAAAAAACTCTTTTCATATGTTTAACATATATGTAAAAATATATCTCTGTGCTTCTATCTATATGAAATATATAGACATACATGTATATGTATTATATGTAGAGGGTGTGATCAAGAGTAGCCTAGTTAAGGTAACATGACTAAAAGATAAGGATTTTGTTCTGGATTTGAAGATATCTCTAATGTATAAGGAGTTAACTTGTCCAATGAAAATATGTTTAGCATTTTGGTCCCACCTTCTCGGTAGGGTATGGTATTTGCTTTAGGTGTACACTGATACCATACTGAAGAATCCTAATATCTCTGCTCCCTTTTAAAGGCCAAGATCAGGGGCATGGCTCAGATTCACAGCAGTCAGGTCTCGACCAATCATCAATGTGGAATCAATAGGCCACTAAGTAGCCAGGAAAAAGACATTCCTTACTTTCTAAATATGAATAATATCCCCAGTTATGGTGTCAGTGGGCATTTTCACACTCTCTTTGGGGAATACCTTCAAAGTCATAACAAAGGTCTAACTCTAATTCTATCAGGTGAACAAGGCACTTTCTTCTGGTGATCTCTTTCTCCATCTCCCTTTTCTGTGTGTGCATATACGTATGTATAATACATCTACATGTATGTAAGCATGTGTGTATACATGTATGTATGTGTGTGTGTGTGTTCAGAGGCATTTGGTGCACAGAGAGTGAGATTTGAGCCCAGGTCTTCTTGCCTTCAAATCTAGCAATAATTTGTTCTTTCTCTACTTATGTATGCATATATCCATGTACATATTATGTATTTACAATTTTAGACTTAAATGTTGGTTTAAGTAGAAAAATATTTCAATTAAAGAAACTTGGGATAATTGAAGTTTTTATTATTTGATATTAGAAGTATAATGATAAGACTCCAATATGAGGTCACTTGGGCTAAGTGGACCTAATGCCCATGAATTATATGGGCAAATACTGCCAAGGTTGTACTCTGCTACTCTTCTGACTCTGGCTCAACAGTTAATGCTCACAGCTTCTGATTGGAAAATACTGCTGGTCATGTGAAGCAGTCTGAGTTACTCCTTTCTTTTGCCTCCTCAGATAGTCAATTCAGACCTTCTCCCAATTTCTGGTCCCAGCAAAGAAACTCCCCTTACCTGAGCCTCACCAAGCCTGGTATCAGTAAGTGACCCCAAGGACTTCCCAACCTTTGGGTCTTATTTAGAAATGTCTCCTCCCACATTTGGCACTGATTAACTCTACTCCATCAAGACCATTTTTAGGGTAAGTTCCCTACTTGAACCTCACCTCTGCCCTCTCCCTCCCTTGTGATAGGGTAAGTTCCCTACTTAAACCTCACCTCTGCCCTCTCCCTCCCTTGTGATCTTGGTGAGTTTCTTGCCCCCGGGGGATGAACCTCTCTCTCTCTCTATTGCCACAGAAGGTATTTGTGCGTATGCTTTCTTTCTCCAGGCTTGCTGTCTTGCATAATAATAAAGCTCCTGTTTATATCAGTTTCCTGAGTCCCAATTTCCTGTAAAGAGTCAAACCCAGGTCTTCATTTTAACCCAAGCTGTGATACCAAATAAAGCAAAACCTCAACACGTATAAACTGTAGATATTAGAAAAGAAATATTTTAAAAAGAAACGGGTACAGTTTTAAAAAATCTATAAATAAAAAGGCATTCTTTGACTTTGCAACTTGATAGCTATATAACCTTGGGCAAGCCTAATCTATAATGGGAATAATACTTGCACTAAAATCTTATAGGTTATCATAAGGATAACACATGAAAATATAGGTCAAATATTTTGCTAACTATAAAGCACTACCTACAAAAATCCTTGATTTCTATATTCTCAAAGATGTGATTTCACATGATTTCAGTTTTAGACTTCAGAAGTTATCATATGGTTACCCTAACCATTCTTAATTTATTAGCATGATATTTCTCAATAAGGCTGGCCATATGCAAGGGTAGAGTAGTAGATCATAACCCATGTGGCCTTTTGAGAAGGCTCCCTATTCCTGAAAAGGCTTCCTATTCTCAAATAGCTTTCCTTCTTGACTTTGACTGATGCCCGAAATTCTGTGGAAGAGAAGAAAAGTACTTAGTGGATTATTATTATATTAGGTTTCCCTCATGTGTTTACCTTCTTTGAAAATACTGTCATTGATTTGTAAAACTGTAGATCCTATATCTAATCTGCAACTGTGTCAATGTGAAAAATGAACATTGCAAATCTTTTGCTTTTGCAAATTGAACACCCAGAATATAAGCAGGCACTAACTAATAAATGAAAAAAGAGATTCTCAACTTAAAAAAAGGAGGAATAGAAGTGGGTTTACAAACAGGGGACAGTCTGAGTCTTTATTTTTAAATTTTGTTTTTTTCCTGAAAATGAGATAATTTGGATTTAAAATGCAATGTGGCTTACTGGATAGACAGGGTCTCAGAATCAGGAGGGGTTCAAGTGCCATCTCTGACACATGTTTGTTGGGTATCTCTACATAAGTCACACAAAACACTCTTTTCCATGGTCAACTCCCTAATATTACAGGTTACAAAGCAGCTGGTAATCTGTACTGGTAGAGGAAGTTCCTAACTAGGAGCTCCTTGTATGGATGAAATCACAGGCCAGAAATAAATATCAGAAATAAAATAAACACTAAGATGGAAGCATAAACATTTAAAAAAAAAGAATGAATGCAGGCAGTATGTAATATTGCAGAGTACTTGAATACAAATGCACTTTCAGCCACTCAACTATCTAGTTCAACTATAAAATTTCAACTGGGCACCTGCTAGGTAGAAACCATTGTGTATTGTGCCCCAAACAATGCAAAAGAAAGGGAGAAATGGTCCTTCACTCCAAGAGGTTTACAATGTACTTTAAACGGTACTGACTCCTGAAATACTGCACTTAAAGCTAACAATGAAGAGCAGGGTTTGAGATTCCATGTTGGAAATAATGTTTCATTATCTTTTGAGACAACTGTCACTAAAGAATTTGCATACAGTACTGAGCAATATGTTTCCGTGAAATTTTTACATTTCTTAAGATCGCAGTGTGACGGATGCCATGTGCTCAGAATGCATTTAAATGTGAGATGGTGAGAAGAGGCAGGTGATTTATCCAATTGTAAGAAAATGAAGTGTGCTCTGCTCTAACCATTTCTACAGCATATAGTTGACTTAATATACTCAGTTTTCTTTAAAAATGCATTAATATGGAGTGATACTTGTTTTTAAAATCAGATATTAGACCAAAGTGGTCCAACCCACAAATGACCAAAAAGAACTTTGAACCATGTTGACTACACTCCTTTGCACAGATGTGGCTGTATAGAAGAAAAGGGAGAAACAGACGGTTGATCAAGGAGCTGAAGAAGTGAGAACACATTTATAGATCTTATGCCAAAAGATTTATTGAAACAAAAGAAAAGTAGTGAAGGTGAGCTGATTCTCAAAGGGAAACAGTGAATATAATTCCTGTGTCTGTATTGGTAAAATGAAGGGGCAACTCAGAGGCAATAAGGAGACTTTCACATGGAATACTTTTCTCAAAATTACAGAACAATCTGTTTTTAAAATGAACATTTTAATTAAATGCTTCATAGGGAAGACACATTTATTAACTAACATTCATGTTTATCATGTTGATATCACCCAGATGCTTATAAGATATAGACCCATAAAGCTTAATCCTTTCAT